TCTCTCTCTCTCTCTCCTCTCTCCTCTCTCTCTTCTCTCTCTCTCTCTCTCTCTCTCTCTCCTCTCTCTCTCTCGCTCTCTCTCTCTCTCTCTCTCTCTCTCTCTCTCTCTCTCTCTCTCTCTCTCACTCTCTCTCTCTCTCTCTCCCGCAATAAATTAAAAATAAAATCTCTCTCTCTCTCTCCTCTCTCTCTCTCTCTCTCTCTCTCTCTCTCTCTCTCTCGTCTCTCTCTCTCTCTCTCTCTCTCTCTCTCTCTCTCTCTCTCTCTCTCTCTCTCTCTCACACATTCTATTCTACCCAACCCCCACACTCTTTGTCCCAGCCAACTAGGGAGGGGCACTGTACACAGTTATTAAAGTAAATAAACCAACAGACTTACAAACAATGGTGAGCCCTTAATAACAATAATAATAATAATAATAATAATAATAATAATAATAATAATGATAATCTTCACAATCATCATCAAAGGAAAATTATTGTTGCCAGTAATAATAATAATAACAATAATAATAATAATAATGATAATCTTCACAATCATCATCAAAGGAAAATTATTGTTGCCAGTAATAATAATAATAATAATAAGATCTAAGGGGAATTTTTGGAATAGACATCATGAAAGTAATGCAAAGGTATACTAAAACCCAGCAGAGAATTGGATTTTCATTACACATCTTATATAATCCCTTCACGTCTGACAGGTCATTACACTCTCCATCTCTGTCTCTCTTTACAGCCTGATAAAGACTGTTTTATTTTATAATTTTTGGCCCTTCCAGGTGTCACAATCATCTTAAAAAAAAAAAAAAATATTTATTTTTATTTTTTTATAGGTGTTCCTACTTCACGGAAATTCACCTATCGCGGTGGGTCCCAGAACCGAACCCCCGCGATAAACGAGGGATTACTGTACATGTATGTCAACTTTGTCTAATTTCAGTAGTGCTAAAGGTCCTTGATTACATGTGTTGCTTTTTTTTAGTTATTATAGGATCCTTTTTATTATTTATTAGAAGGTGTGTGTTTCGGTGTGTCCCCAGAAGATGTTCAGAAGCTCGTCGAGGAGTTGCTGGAGAACCATGACCCAAGTCATTTGGGTTTCGTGACGCAAGAGGAGTACCTCATGTGGACGTTGAATGATCGTCTGTCCTCTGCGTTGCTCGAAATAATTTTTCAGGTAATTCTTTTTGTCATTTTGTATCTTTATTAACCCTTTACACGCGACCATATCGTGCTAGGACATGTGTCTGGGTTGATGACAAGCGCGAATTTGATTCGTCAGACCGAGGGTTCGTGGCCTGCCATGGTGTGAGGTTAGAAATAGCATACACTCGATGTAATAGTCGCATATGCCAAAACCAAAGCCCTTTTCAAGAAGGCACTGTCCTAACCCATAATAAATAAGGGAGTCCATGATGTAAAACCAGATCATGGCATATTCGGACATATTTTTTCATGACATAAGCTGCTAATGTCCCACATTTGGGCTTGCATAATATCAAACTAGCACACCATTCTCTTTGGCAGTATTGAAGTAGAAAGCTGTATCTGGCATCTGTTGTCTTGTTGCCATACATGAGTCACTGTTTTATCCAGTTGAGGTACTTGAAAGGAGTCGGTAGTCTTTGTGATGTCAAGGGGGACATTATGATATTTTTGCACTGAGACATAGCGGACCCTCCTCTTGCTGAGGTGTAATTAATATTGTTGATAACTCACAGGGAAAGAGTTAAGTCTAGCTATCTATCCATCTATATTACATGAGCCAAATTACTCTATAAAGGGAGTGGCTGAGTCAAATGAAAATACACAGACTATTTGGGAAGAAAATACTGAAGGGATTCCCAGTCCCCTCGCTCCGCCCATTTAGTCAACTTTCACAATGCGTAGGGGAACACGGAGGAAGTATTCTTCCATGTAGATTTATTAGGAACTTATAAAGAAGTATAACCTAAAGATGCTCTTGAGTTGTGTTTACAAGGCAGGTCATGTAACTTGACTTAATCTAACCTAATTTATTGGGTTATTAAACTTTAGTTGGGATTCTTGGGGGTTACTAATCTTTAAAAGCTCAGATCATTAGTTACAAAAGTTAATTGTATTAATAATTTTGCGATTTTTTTTTATTGATCATGAATACCTAAATTATTTTGATTTTATTCTTTATAGTTTTTCTGACTTGTTTCTTAGTAATGTCAATGTCTTTTTTTTTTAATTACAGAAAAATGACTTTTTAAAATACTTTTGACTTTACGTATAATTGGTTTTCTTCCTGTTTTGTGTGTTTTTTTTTAATTTGACTATCACAAGCCTCTTCTAATGAGCTGAGATTGTTTTACTATACAAATTTTATTGTGTGTTGAGTTTGCATATGATATACTTCTTTTTTCTACTTGATTCATATTTTCAGTATTTAATTTATACATAAGTTATCCATAATATAAATATACTCCTTGAGGGGGCAATAATACTTTCACCGTGTTCCCTTGAATGTTTTACAAGTCGACTAAATGGGATGGAGCAAGAGGATTTGGAATTAGCTCCTTTTTATTATCGTCTCAAGGAGAGTCAAGGTTTTTGTTTTGACTCAGCCACTTGCCTTAAAAGGAGGATCATAGCTTTTATATATAGAATATACAGACGCTCCCCTCCTAACGAACAACCGAGTTATGAATATTCACAGATACAAAAAACCTACCCATTATCTACCAAGTATTAATGTATGTATTACAGAACTGTACTGTATTATTGCAATATTATTATGGTATTAAAATTTATTAATGCTGAATTCTTTATGTTTTATGTAGTTGTTAAGTGTCTTTAGCCAAAGTACTGTACAAAACTGCATCCACTCAGCTCGTGGAACAACGCGAGGGTAGATTCTTAGAAGTGATGTGTAATGTAAAATTTGTGTATGTAACCAGTCATTCACCATAAGGAACAATGATAATAGGCATATAGTATATACGTTCCGCAAGCATACATAAACACACTATGCCAAAGATATAAGATAAGTAATACATATTTTATAAGTACATAACAAAGCAGAAAGACCTGTAGTTATTTATATTAACATGCACATAGTGTAGAGTATAAAAGATATACAGATTTACGAATAAATACTGTACAGAAAAAAAAAATTAATGAACCCTGAGAACGATCCCTTATCTGCAAATGTAAACAAAGATGACGTTAGCGGTAGGAGGAGGAGGAGACTTAAGCGGTAGGAGAGGGAGGAGAAAGGGGAAGAGCAAACCACTGGTTGTTGTTGGGGTAAATACAGGGTGAAGAGTGACTGAAGCACATGGCAGCATGGTGGAAAACTGCCTCAGAGGTGGTCGCTTAGTTACTAAACAACCATTTTTTAAATATTTTTTTCGCGCTCATGTGCATAGCTCGTGCATTTCGTATATTTTTACTATTATTTTTTTGGAGGCATTATTCCAATTTCGCGTATTATAACAAAAGCGAGTTGAATGTATGTATATACTGTACAGTACTTATTTTTAACCTAAACGAACACTTCTACTTAGAAATGGACTTCTGTAACCTAAGTCATTTGTAAGTAGGGGAGCATCTGTATAAGCATACTTATATAGTTTCAGAGTTCAATTAATATATACTCCTCACCTGTACTTACTTATTTATGTGGTCACCGTGGCAAAGTGGTAGCACTTGTGACTTTGAGTTGTCAGGTCGAGGGATCGAGGCTGAGGTTAGGAAGGCCATTCACTCAGGATAGCGATCACACCTGTCAAAACCAAAATCCTTCGCAAGCAGGCACCATCCTAGCCATTAGTAGAAAAAGGAGTCCATGTAGTACAGCCAATTGCATCCCATCACCTATGCTTACTTTTCTGAATTTTTATTTCAGGTATGCCATATCGTGCTAGGTTTAAAACCCAGTAGTCGGAACGAGGAGAGGGAAATAGTCCTCGGGTGGCTACGCCGAGCTGAGAGCAGATCGTTAACCGTCGGGCAATTTTGGTACATCATTAATGAGCAGTGGTGGAACTTGTGGTACGAATACGTTAGTCATCAAGTGAGTGTCAGATAATTTACTGTTTTTCACACTAGAACTATTCCTAGAGACCCTGAGTTAGGATGGCTCTCTGAAGATGGTTCTAGCTCATACCTTCATGCTAGAATCATCCCTAGAGACCCTGAGCTAAGACAACTTTGTGAGGATGGTTCTAGCTCATAATTTCATGCTAGAACCATCTGTAGAGACCCTCAGCTTGGATGGTTTTAGCTTGAAGGAAAGCTATATGAGTACGTATGCCATTTTAAGTTAACCTCTGAATTTAAGTATATTATGCATAAGTTTAGATGTGGCCGTTGTTGTGGAGTGGTAACACTTGCGACTTTGACTCGTCAGGTCGTGAGTTCGAGACCTGTATCGGTTTGAAGTTGGAAAGGGTGTTGTATGGCATCTCATATAGATGCGAATAGCCGCTAGAGGGCAGAGTGCGCACTCTAAAGCCCGCCACCAGAGGACGGCATACAGAGAGCGTGTCTGTTAGATAGGGGGTCAGACCTTGCCGGGGGCAGAACTCACGTCCTAGTTAGAAACCTCCCCTGCAGGGGGTGGGGCATTGTTGAGTGTGCTAGCGAGGAACTGTGTGAGTTGCAGGAACTATAGGAATGGGAGCTTTATCTATTTTCCAAAATAGTTGCAATATGTGGCAGAAAAACTCTTATAATAATCAGTTCAACTTTTGTCCTAACAGTATTTATGCAATATCAGCATGCAAAAACTTATCACTTGTAATAAAACTTTGGCACATTTATCGTCTAGCAGATTTGCAAAAGAATGAAAAAAATCAATGATTATAATACTCTGTCGACATAAAGAAATAACATGGTTCAGTATGGAAAGGGCAAAAGATGAGAGAGAGAGAGAGAGAGAGAGAATTTATTTTTCTTAAAAAAAAAACATATTTTTCGCTTATAGGGCCCTGTTTATGACTTGACTTCCTACCCAGCTATACAAGGGGACAGAGTGCAACTGCAACCATTTTCTAAGGTCTAAAATGAATAAAAGCAAAATAGCTTAACATCAATGCATAAATCCATTCTTTTTCTGTCTAACATTGCAAATGACTTTAGTGAAAGAAGCATACACATACTTGTCTAGTATGGCAATCTTTTGTCCTTTTTTTTTTATTTTTATAAATCAGAGGGTTGAGTTGAAGCGCACACTTGCTATAAGTCAACATACCTCTGACGAAATTTAAACAAAATACTACAGTCATATGTGATAATTATATTTAATAAATATGAAACTCTTGGAAGCCTAACAAGAATTGTAAATTGACAATATTTTACACTAATGCTGATATCTCAAGAGAATATTCTTATTTTTATTTATTTATCTCTACTACTATCAACAAAATTACGATTATCCTTTCTTAATAAACGATATACAAGGTCTTAAGTATCATTATTTTTAAATTTCAAACTCAAAATATAAGCTTTGAGAATCTCAATTATCTTAATTTGCTCAATTGTAATTATAAATTTCATGACAGTGATAGTAATTAACAATAATTATCTCTAGATAAGCTTTTCAAAATCTTTAATATCCTTATCTCTTTGGAATTATAATTATCACATGAAGATAATATACACTTTTCAACAAAAAAGATATAAAAAAAAAACGTGTATCTGAAAAGAATATAGAAAGTTAGTCTCTGTGCATGCAGTAATAAAATTAAAAATAATATTTCATTTGCAACATTAAAGAATGAATTTTGCTTAAGTTTCATAATCTCTTAAGGAGTTGTACATGAAAAATTAATATATATATATATATATATATATATATATATATATATATATATATATATATATATATATATATATATATATATATATATATATATATATATATATATATATATATATATATATTTATATATTCTTCTACGATCTAAAATTGAATTTTTTTGAGTGACTATTCAACAGGATTACCTCAGGAGACAGGGGGGAGTTATATATTTCTTCTCCCTTTCTATACTTACGATCGGGTAGGTACTTAACTACCTTCTTTTTTACTCTCTTTCCTTTTCCTGCCCAAAAATACTGCTCAATATCTGTCTTCTGAACTTCAAATGGCTAGCTTTTGCAGGGAGTTTTGCATGTAGGCTGTTCCTCCCCTGTCTTCGGTTTCTGTATCGACTTCGTCTCTTTCAAATACAGGAAACGACTGTGTGACATTCTTGTTGGCATTTCTTGTAAGTTCACATTCCCTTCTTCATGACCAAGCTGAAATAATTGACAAACATTATCATGGCTAAAACTTCAAAGTTTTAATTTATCTAATTAGCATATTCTTTCGGACAAATAATGTATATACTGCAGCTAAAAAGAAAAATAAAGAATCATTCAGAGATTCGCGTCCTTAATCACTTAATATCTCTCTTGGAATTCTCGAAAATCGAATAATAATCTCGTTGGCGGATTAGGGGACATAAAACTATTAAGATAAAGTCTGCATCTCAACCATAGCTGGGCAGGTGGAAAATGACGTTGACTCTAAAATATCTCTGAATAGACATCACAACAGCTACCTCACCCCCCATTAAAACGTTGCGCATATGGCTGGTATTAAGACATGGTGATGCAGGGGAAGAGTCCTCCCAGACCCTATCCCCATCTTGCTTCCCTAACGGTTTTTCCCGCTATTCCACCCACGAGAGCATCCCTCCCATGATACCCCTGTCCAGCCATACCCATCCTCTCTCGCACTCGCATCACTTTCAAACCTCGCATTCCTTTCTTTCTGTTTATCTCCCCTCCCCTTCCCGTCACTCTAAAGGAATGTGAGACTCGCGATCGGCCCGAGGGTCGCATGACTGTGTCACCAGTCCTGTGTCCTCCCTATACTCCCAACAACAGTGCATCAATGCGACACGCAAACCCCCCTATCACAGCACAAGTTACTCGACTCTCTTTTCCCGCCTGCATAACACGAAAATAAAACTTTTTGTATCAAACAATAAAGATCTTAATAATATCACAAAATTTTCTTATTCTTCAAAAGGATACATCATGAGTTCTTGTGAGTAGTAGTCTTAAGCCAAGAGAGCAATGCACAGCAGTCAGAAATAAAGCAAACAGAATTTTAGGATTTATCTCAAGAAGCGTCAGCAATAGGACGGAAAAAGTTATTTTGCAGCTCTATCTTGCATTAGTTAGGCCCCATTTAGATTATGCTGTGCAATTCTGGTCACCCTATTATAGAATGGAAATTGAATCCTTGGAGAGAGTGCAGCGAAGAATGACCAAGATGATACACAATATCAGAAATCTACCATATGAGGACAGATTAAAAAAACTTAATCTACATTCTCTAGAGAGGCGAAGAGTTAGGGGGGATATGATTGAAGTGTATAAATGGTTTAAAGGGATTAACAAGGGAGATATTAATAAAGTTTTAAAAATTCATGATCAAACCAGAACTCGTAATAATGGATTTAAGCTTGATAAATTTAGGTTCAGAAGGGAAATTGGTAAAAATTGGTTTGGTAATAGAGTAGCTGATGCATGGAACAAGCTTCCTAGTATGATAGTAAATGCCAATACCTTAGACACCTTCAAATGTAGATTAGATAGACATATGACAGAGGTAGGGTGGGTATGAATAGGTTAGTGCTTATTAGAAAAATCATAAAAAGAAAAACAGAATAAATAAGTAGAGTAGAATAGAATAGGTTAGACATGCTGAAAATACAATTCAAAAATGGAGCTGCCTCGTGTGTGCCAGTAGGCATGTTGCAGTGTCCTCTATTCTTATGTTCTTATGTTCTTATGAACATAATTCAATATCAAAGATCAATACAATTACTATTTCTTTATAATAACGACGTTAGGAGATGGATCGGTCATTCCCGCATTCCTCTCACTAAAAATATCACCCATTAAAAAAGAAAGAACCTTAAAAGCGGATTCAAGCATATTTCTCATTATAAATCGTTCACTCATTTTGAAGTATATAAAAACTCTGCGACTTATATTCTATTCTGAACACTGTCACTCTCGCTTTAAGAAATTAATATAAAAATTATTTTACACGTACATTAAATTTTTTCAATCTAAATCAATACCTTTGCCTGTGTAATAATCAACTTAGGCATTAATAAATATGAATGGAACACCCTTCAAATGCAATTACTGTACTAGTTATATTATTCAAATTATAACATAAATGGAGTTTATCACTGCTTATAGCTATTAGTACAATTTATCCATGTTAGTAATGGGTACAGAAATTCTACTTTTATTAATTTACCAAAGCCATACACCCTTTTATATGCGGGGTGGCTGAGTCAAAGCATCACTACAAGTAAAATGGCGGAGTCCTCTGACCTCAATTTCTTTTAATATTTGTCCCATTACTCACTGGATACAAATCACAAGTACTTAGCTGTTTTGGGATGCTGCTTGAAGAAAGTTACGAACACAGGCACTGGAGGAGGGGGTCTTTCTTTCTTATTAATTCGCTGATTTTCCCGCCGACATCGTCCATATGACTCATAAAATCGACGATTCACCATCTTCTTAGTTGGATCCGGCAACAAATAACTCCTGCTAGGGCCATTTTCTCTATCACAGTGCGGTGCACGGTGATATCCATTGGAGGGCACTGGGTCCTTCTCTCAGCTGATGTGTCCCAGTCCTCGTGAACGAAGATTAGCGACTTTTCTTCTGAGTCAGAATGCATGGGACAATTCTTACACCGGGGGGGACCTTGCCAATACGGGAACTTGGGAGAGATGGAACTGGTTCTTGTTACTTGATACTGTGAGCGTGGTTGGAGCTGCCTGAGGCACTTTTCTTGGGATCACTGCATGTGAGCGTCTAGAAGTTTCTTCTCACTCGAATATTTCTTCCAGAGATGCATTTTATGTCTGTTTCTTCTGCATTCTTAATTCTTTTTTTCTCATCGCTGTAGTAACGGCATGGATGCGTCCTGAAGCTGCCACCAGATGTCGTATTGACGACTTATATAACAGGCCAAAAGCTACAGCATGCGAGGTAGTGACAAATAGCCTCTCTTCTTCATACTTAATTTATTCAGAAGCTACATGGTTCCTTTAATCCTCAAAGCTTCCATTCCTATAGTTCCTGCAACTCACACAGTTCCTCGCTAGCACAAGCAACAATTCCCCACCCCCTTCGAGGGAGTTTCTGACTAGGATGTGAGTTCTGCCCCCGGCAAGGTCTGACCCCTAACTAACAGACACGCTCTCCGTATGCTGTCCTCTGGTGGCGGGCTTTCGAGTGCGCACTCTGCCCTCTAGCGGCTGTTGGCCTCTATATGAGATGCCATACGACAAGGGCATTTCCTCAAGGTAACAATCACACATGCCAAAATCCAAAGTCCTTCGCAAGGAGGCACTGT